CGACTACTACTTTTGCGACTACGACTGCGACAACTACTTCCAGTATTACTACTACTACAACTGCTACTACTACTACTACTACTACTACGACTACTACTACTACTACGACTACTACCACTACTATGACTACTACTGTTACTACTATCATTACTGCTGATATTACTACTACTACGACTACTACTACTACTACTACGATTACTACTACTACTACGACTACTACTACTACTTTTACTTATACGAGTCCTGTTGCTACTACGTTGTCTTCGACCACTATCACGATTGCTACTACTACTATTACTACTGCTGCTACTACTACTTCTTCTACTACTACTACTAATACTACTACTACTACTACTACTACTAGTTCTACTACTACTACTACAACTACTACTACGATTACTACCACGACCACTAATACTACCACTACTACTACTACTACTACTACTACTACCACTACTACGACGACTACTACTACTACGACTACTACTACTACTATTACTACTACTACGACCACTACTGCTATGGTTAATACTACTACTACTACTACTACTATTATTACTACTACTACTACTACTACTAGTACTACTACTGCTACTACTATTACGACTACTACTACTACGACTACTACTACTAGTACGACTACGACTGCAATTACCATTTTTATTGTTACTACTACTACTACTACTACTACTACCACCACTACTACTACTACTACTACTACTACTACTACTACTGCTACCCCTACTACTATTACTACTAATACGATTACGACCTCCACTGCTACTGTGAATTACGACTACTACGTTTGCGACTACGACTGCGACAATTATTTCTAGTATTTCTACTACTACTGCTACTGCTACTGCTACTGCTACTGCTACTACTACTACTACTACTACTACCACTACTATGACTACGACGACTACTACTACGATCATTACTATTACTACTACTTCTACTACTAATACTACTACTATTACTACTACTACTACTACGACTACTACTACGACTACTACTACTACTACTACTACTACTACTACTACTACGACTACTCTTACTTATACGAGTCCTGTTGCTATTACGTTGTCTCCGACCACTGTCACGATTGCTACTACTACTATTACTACTACTGCTACTACTACTTCTTCTACTACTACTAATACTACTACTACTACTACTACTACTACTACTACTACTACTAGTTCTACAACTACTACTACTACTGCTACTACTACTACTACTACTACTACTACTACTACCACGACCACTCATACTACCACTACTACTACTACTACTACTACTGCTACTATTACTGCTACTACTACTACGACTACTACTACTACTACTACTACTACTACTACGACTACGACTACTACTACTACTACTACGACCACTACTGCTACGGTTAATACTACTACTACTACTATTACTACTACTACTGCTACTACTACTACGACTACTACTACTACTATTACTACTTCTACGATTACGACTACGAGTGCGTTTACCATTTTTAGTACAACTACTACTACGACTACCACTACTACTCCTACTACTACTACTACTACTACTACGACCACTACTACTACTACTACTACTACTACTACTTCTTCTACTACGACTACCACTGTTTCTGAGACTTCTCTTGCACCCGTCTCTGTGCCTCCCAAACCCAAACAGAAAGCAATCGTGCACAGCGTTTGGCGCCTTCGGTGCAAGGAAATGCTGAGTATGTTTGGTTGCTTTGGTTTTTGTATGTGAAACGCCGAAACACTGTGCATGTGTGTTTGTTGCGTATGTTTCTGGCCGTGGGAGGCAGAGAGAGGGGTGCTGGGAGGGAGGTACGTTCGAGCATTGGGGGTTGCACAACCCAATTTTTATATATAAAAAAGCATGGCGAAGGACCCAACCATATGCAGTTGTGAATACCGCAATTGTGAATACCATCTTCGCCCGCGCTCCCTATGTGGCCACGGCTTCCCGCCGGGGCCCGACATGTTCAGGGACGTGTTCGTGGCCGTCTTCGCGGGCGCCGACGACGACAAGGACGGCGCCCCTCTCACCGAGGAGCAGAAGCAGGAGAGGGCCTTGAGAGTCATGAGGGAGGAGGTGGCGTTGCACGTCGACGAGGCGGAGTACGACGCCCAGGCGCGGTTGTTGAAGCAGCACAACTATGTGGCCGCGATCTTCGCGAGGCAAGTGCCGCAGTGGCCCGGGGCTGCCGTGCGTACCCTGCCACTGGCGCCTTCGGTGGAGCTCCCTATGGGGCCACGATCCTCGCGAGAGGTGTGCCGAAATGGCCCGAGGCCGCCATGCGAACGCAGCCACTGGAGCCTTCGGTGGAGCTCCCTCTGGGGCCACGATCCTCGCGAGGGGCGTGCCGAAATGGCCCGAGGCCGCCAAGCGAACGCTGCCACTGGGGCCTTCGGTGGAGCTCCGCATGGGGCCACGATCCTCGTGAAGGGGTGTGCCGAAATGGCCCGGGGCCGCCATGCGAACGCTGCCACTGGGGCCTTCGGTGGAGTTCCGCATGGGGCCACGATCCTCATGAGGGGTGCGCCAAAATGGGGCGGGGCCACCATGCGAACGCTGCCACTGGGGCCTTCGGTGGAGCTCCCTTTGGGGCCACGATCCTCGTGAGGGGTGCGCCAAAATGGGGCGGGGCCACCATGCGCACGCGGCCACTGGAGCCTTCGGTGGAGCTCCCTATGGGGCCACGATCCTCGTACGGGGTGCGCCGAAATGAGGCGGGGCCGCCATGCGAACGCTGCCACTAGGCCTTCGGTGGAGCTCCCTTTGGGGCCACGATCCTTGTTAGGGGTGCGCCGAAATGGCCCGAGGCCGCCATGCGAACGCAGCCACTGGAGCCTTCGGTGGAGCTCCCTATGGGGCCACGATCCTCGTGAGGGGTGTGCCGAAATGGGGCGGGGCCGCCATGCGAACGCTGCCACTAGGGCCTTCGGTGGAGCTCCCTATGGGGCCACGATCCTCGTGAGGGGGGCGCCAAAATGGGGCGGGGCCACCATGCGAACGCTGCCACTGGGGCCTTCGGTGGAGTTCCCTATGGGGCCACGATCCTCATGAGGGGTGCGCGGAAATGGCCCGAGGCCGCCATGCTAACGCTGCCACTAGGGCCTTCGGTGGAGCTCCCTTTGGGGCCACGATCCTCGTGAGGGGTGTGCCGAAATGGGGCGGGGCCGCCATGCGAACGCAGCCACTGGAGCCTTCGGTGGAGCTCCCTATGGGGCCACGAAACGTTGTACTGGGTTGGTGGATCGCAGGGAGGAGGGGGGAGGAGGGGGAGGAGAGGAGGAGGAGGAGAGGAGGAGAGGAGACGCGGGCCACCGTCTCTTCAAAACGAGGACCCAACACCACAGGATGGTTGGGAAAAACACAGAGTGTTATTGTGCATCCTAGCTAAAACAAAACAAACATACACAGGGTTTCCTTGCACCGAGGGCGCCAAACACTGTGTGTTTGCTTGTGTTTCTGATCTGGGGGGGGCGCTGAGAGTTGTGCTGGGAGGGAGGTCCGCGCGAGCACTGGGGCTGGCAAAACCGAGAAGCCGAACAAAACAAGAATACACAGTGTGACCTTGCATCCCGGACCAAAAAGAGAGAGAGAGAGAGAGAGAGAAACAAACACACACACACACACATCCACAGGGCTTCCTTGCACCGGGAGCGCCGCGAGGAGGAGGAGGAAAAGGAGGGGGAACAGGAGGAGGAGGAGGATGGGAGGGGGAGGAGGAGCACGACGAATCCTGCGAAGAAAACGTGCTTAGAAGAAGTCAGCAGGGGAATCAGAAGAGGCAGACACAGAACAGAAGCACAGAAAGGTCTGATCTTTGGGGGGCGACCATATAGGTTTATGTATGTGTGTATATACATATGTGTGTGTGTGTCTGTGTGTGTCTGTGTGTGTCTGTCTGTGTGTGTCTGTCTGTGTGTGTCTGTGTCTGTGTCTGTGTCTGTGTGTCTGTGTGTCTGTGTGTCTGTGTGTCTGTGTGTCTGTGTGTCTGTGTGTCTGTGTGTCTGTGTGTCTGTGTGTCTGTGTGTCTGTGTGTCTGTGTCTGTGTGTCTGTGTCTGTGTGTCTGTGTCTGTGTCTCTGTGTCTCTGTGTCTCTGTGTCTCTGTGTCTCTGTGTCTCTGTGTCTCTGTGTCTCTGTGTCTCTGTGTCTCTGTGTCTCTGTGTCTCTGTGTCTCTGTGTCTCTGTGTCTGTGTCTCTGTGTCTCTGTGTCTCTGTGTCTCTGTGTCTCTGTGTCTCTGTGTCTCTGTGTCTCTGTGTCTCTGTGTCTCTGTGTCTCTGTGTCTCTGTGTCTCTGTGTCTCTGTGTCTCTGTGTCTCTGTGTCTCTGTGTCTCTGTGTCTCTGTGTCTCTGTGTCTCTGTGTCTCTGTGTCTCTGTGTCTCTGTGTCTCTGTGTCTCTGTGTCTGTGTCTCTGTGTCTCTGTGTCTCTGTGTGTCTCTGTGTCTCTGTGTCTCTGTGTCTGTGTGTCTGTGTGTCTGTGTGTCTGTGTGTCTGTGTGTCTGTGTGTCTGTGTGTGTCTGTGTGGTCTGTGTGTCTGTCTGTGTGTCTGTGTGTCTGTGTGTCTGTGTGTCTGTGTGTCTGTGTGTCTGTGTGTCTGTGTGTCTGTGTGTCTGTGTGTCTGTGTGTCTGTGTGTCTGTGTGTCTGTGTGTCTGTGTCTGTGTGTCTGTGTGTCTGTGTGTCTGTGTGTCTGTGTGTCTGTGTGTCTGTGTGTCTGTGTGTCTGTGTGTCTGTGTGTCTGTGTGTCTCTGTGTCTGTGTCTCTGTGTCTCTGTGTGTGTGTCTGTGTCTCTGTGTCTCTGTGTCTCTGTGTCTGTGTGTCTGTGTGTGTCTCTGTGTGTCTGTGTGTCCTGTGTGTCTGTGTGTCTGTGTGTCCCTGTGAACCAACGACCACGACGACGGCAGCAACAACAGCGGAGGCGCCGGCGCCGCCGATTGGCGGCGGGGAGGGTGGCAGCCAGCCGCCGGCCGCAGGCGAAGCGCAAGTGCGACCTCGGCAAGGGGTACGGGTTCGGAGGCTATTCTGCCCAGGGCGTGGAACGCGTCAGCGCCACGGCCTGCCGCGGGGGGGGAGGGAAGGAGGGAGGGAGGGAGGGAGGGAAGGACGAGGAGGCGGAGGAGGAGGAGGAGGAGGAGGAGGAGAAGGGCGCCCTGGATAAGCTCAGGGCGGGAACGGAGCCCCAGTCTGGCACAGGTTTTCGGGCTTACCCTGTTCCCTCGCCTGTGGGGGGCACGTTTCATTGGGTTGAATCGTTGGCCCCAAGCTGAAGAGGGAAACTGGCGTTCAGGAAAACACGGTTTGCTAGACACCCTGACCCGGCAGCACTGGTCGGCCACGCGCAGCAGGTGAGTAGGGGGAGGAGGGGAGGCTTCATAGAAACACGGCTGCCCCTTAAAAGGCGCGGGCCTCGTTTGCAGATGTGAGGCCGGCGCCTTCTCGCTCAATGTCGAAACGCCGAAAAAGAAAACGTTCACCACCCTGTCCCTGACAGCATTGGGTGCGTGGTCCATGCGCAGGCTGTCGTCTAGGGTGTTGTTTTCCCCAGGCCCTTCGGTGCTGGCCTGGCCTGCCAAGGGTAGCCTCTGCGGAGCAGGTAGGCGAGTTCAGCCCTGTGGAAGTCTACCAAGTAGGACATGGCGGAGGAGGATGGGGAGGAGGAGGAGGAGGAGGAGGAGGAGGAGGAGGATGGGGAAGACGAAGACGAAGACGAAGAGGAGGAGGAGGAGGAAGAGGAGGAGGAGGAGGAGGAGTGCGAGGATTCGGGTTTCGAGGTTTTCGGGAGTTTTCGTCGGTCCTCGGCGGTGTTCTGGCCTCGGGATGCTTTCCATCAGATGCGCCGCGTCGAGGGCTCTCTGGAGGTGCCTGGATCATCCCAACAGGCCGCCAGGTGCCCGCGCTGTGGCCCTAAAACTTCGGGGCGTCGAGGGGGGGACGGTGGAGCGGGGGGGGGAGGGGGGGGAGGGGGGAGGACAAGCTAGGTGCGCTCGCGTCAACATCTGACATCCTACCCCTCCCTCCCATCCCTTCCCATTGAGCTACTTCATTGTCCTCTCACCGAATCGGGCTTCGCATCTGACCCTGTTACCTAAGAGGGAAAGGAGGAGGACGACGGCGCGATGAAAACGAAGACGACGACGACGAAGACGACGACGACGACAACCACGACGACGACGACGACGGCGGCGACGACGACGACGACGACGATGAGGACGACCGGCGACGAAGACGACGACGACGACGACGCGACCGCGCCGGAGCGGCACCCGCGCCAGCTGCCCGCTGCCGTTACGCGCGTCCCCCACCCGGATCTCAAATTTCTGCAGGGGCGAAAGGAGAGTAGCATTCATATTGGGTAATGGTAGAGTGGGTCCGATGTCAGAGTTGTGCAAGTGCATTCATATTGAGTAATGGTAGAGGTAGAAATTGCCAATCGCGACAAAGACGCAGACGACGATGCAGGTGCATTCAGATTGAGTAATGGTAGAGGTAGAAATTGCCAATCGCGACAAAGACGCAGACGACGACGGCGGCGGCGGCGAGGGAAGCGGCAGCGGGCGAGGACAGATGTCAGAGAAGAGGATGGAGGGCTGCCAGGCTCGATGGTCTGGCTTCCCTGGACAGTCGGCTCGCACTGGGCCCGTGGACCCCTCACGGGGTCCAGTCGGAGCGGCGTGGTCCAAACTAGGCCAAATCCTGCGCGGAAAAGGACGCCGCCCAAAAGGGGGGGGGCTTTCTGCGGCCCCAAAAATCAACGAATCGACACCGGATGTGTAATCACCTCCAATGTTTTTGCCGGGGATCATTTTCTAGATTTGGGGCTTCTTAAAAAGGATCGAAAACGTCGGCGCTGCAGCGGGAGCACGTTTTGGAACAACGAGAGGCGCAGAAATTGGGCCAGCGCTGCAGCGGGAGCACGATTCGGAACGAGCGGGAGCGCGGAAATGAGGCCAGCGCTGCAGCGGGAACACGATTCGGAAGGAGCGGGAGCCCGAAAATTAAGCCAGCGCCCCAGCGAGAGCAGCATTTTAGAAAAAGCACCAGCGAAAACCCAACTCCGGGGAATCCTGTGTGTAAAAAAACAGTACGCGGGGGGGCGCCGAACATCTTCCGGACGCCATCAGGGGAAGTGGGAGAGTAGTATTCATATTGTGTAATTGTGCAGGAGGAGGAGGAGGAGGAGCAGGAGGAGGAGCAGGAGGAGGAGAAGGAGGAGGGGACGGAGGAGGAGGAGGAGGAGGGGGAGAAAGAGAGCGCATGAGGGACGAGGAGGGAGAAGACGCAATGATGCCCGATTGCCTGCGGCAAGTGCCACCACTGTGTCAGTCCAACACTTTGGGCGGCAACCGCTTGAGAGAGCCGAGCAATGTGACGCGCTCTTTCGCGTCGTGTCGGGGTGTCTCTCCTCGTCTTCGTCGTCTTCCTCAGTCATCGTCCCTCCCTCAGCCACTATTGGGATATCTTCGGGGGCGTCTGGATGCATCTTGGGGACTCCTTGGGCCGTCTCGAGGTGTTTTTGGGCCATATTGCGCCTTCTGGGTCCGTCGTGGGAGACTCAATCGGCAGTCTTGGGACCTTTTTGGGGTCATTCAGGGTCGCCTTGGCGGTATGTTGGGGCGTCTTTGGGGCTTTGTGGTCCTTCCGGCTCTTCTTGAGGCCGTCCTGGAGGCAGCTTGGCCCATCTTGAGCCCTCTTGGGCCCTTTTGGGGCGCTCTTGGGGGCCTTTAAGGCCTTCTCTGGGCCATCTAGGCGGCCTCTTGGGCCGTCCTGATCTGACGGAAATCCGAACATGTGAGAAAGCGACAAAATCCCAAACACATACGTAAAATCGAATGTTTGGTCAGGTCTTATTGGGGGAGCCATCTTAGGCCGTCTTGCGGGCCTCTGGCCGGTTTGAGGCCATCCTGGACCGTGCTGGTGCCATCTTGTGTCGAGGCAGCTGGGGCGATCTTGGCGGCCTTGGTGCGTTGCCTCTGCCCTCTTGAAAGCCATCCTGGGAATGCTGGACGCCGCGGAGAGCCCCAAAGAGTGGTCAGGCCACCCAGGGCACCCCGGGAGAGGTTGGGGGATGCACGCACCTGCCCAATCACCCTGACACGCCCGTACTGGAACGCAACACGTACCGAGCTCAATACGTCCGCGTTGGCATTGCGTGTTAGCGCAACGTGTTGGCCCACGTTTTGGCGAACGCATCGCGCCAAACGTACGTTGTCAATCTCCGTGGCGAGCTCTGTGTCAACACGCTACGGGTTGCGTGTTGCGTATCGGGGCGGCTGAAGCGCACTTGGGTGCGAGGGTGCGAGGAGAGAGGGGGGGCCCGCCAGAAGATTACGGAAGCCCTACACACTTGGCATTCGACCCACGTTTCGTGCCATGGGCGCACGGTGGCGGATTGAATCAGACGACGCGCTGCGCTCTAATCCGCAGCCTCGCTCAAGGCGTAAGGAAGGAGGTTTGGTGTCATCGGCGAGGAATGACGACGGGGAGGAGGAAGAGGGGGAGGCGTGTTAGGAAAAAGGGGAGGGGGAAGGGAACCGAGGCGGGGGAGGCGGGGGAGCAATGAGAACGCGCGCCTCCCGTACTTCCTTCGCGCGTCCCCTCCCCCCGCCCCTCGCCCCCGCCACAGGTGTCCCAGGCCCGAGGTGCCCCCCAGGAGGTCCAGCGAGAGGCCCCGCGGCTCCCAGGGCCCCGCCCGCGCGGCCCAGAGGGGCACCTAGGATAGGGGGCCACGATTTCTGAGGGGGAGGGCGGGGTTCACTTCGTTCGGGAGCTCTCGAGCGAAGTGAACCCCACCCTCCCCCTCAGAAATCGTGGGGGGCAGGAGTAGGGTTGGAGTGGCCCCCTACAGGAGCTCGCACACGGGACGACCAGCGGGCGTCGGGAACTCTGGCTCGGCGTGTCGCGCCGTCTGTCCTGGCCCGCTGCGCTTCGGGCGCGACACGCCGCGGCCGCTTCCGGACCTCCCTGGGCGTCAGCTCCCCGAGAGCTGTTCCCAGTACTTCGCCCCGCGGCGCGGGGCGACACGCCGCCGTCCGCTCGTGGGGCACAGCGTGCCGCCAGGGCCGCCGCCGCGACATGCTCAGCAGAAGTCTCCGACCGCAGAGACCTCGGGCCAGGGACGCCTCCCCGGCAGCCCGAGCCGGGCGGAGGGGGAGGCGTCGAGCGCCGACGGCTCGTCGCTGCTCGGGGCCGCGAAGGCGCCCCCCGCCGCCGCCGCGGGCCGCCGCGGGGACGGGAGCGGCGGCCGATACCCATCCCCACAGCGACCTTTGGCGCGGACCCTGCGCGCTTGGGCTTGCCCTCCCCCCCCGCCGCTCGCGGCGCCCCAACGCCCCGCACCAAAGGCCTCTCTACTCTTGCTCAGGTGCCCAGGGTCACCGCCCAGGGTCACCTATCCCCCGCTCTCTCTCTCTCTCTCTCTTTTTCTCTCTCGCTCTCTCCTTCGGTCTGTCTCTCTGCATACATATTTATATGTATTTCAATAGCTTGATGTATGTCTGTATGTATGTATGTATGTATGTATGTATGTATGTATGTATGTATGGATGTATGTGTGCATGTATGTATGTATGTATGTATGTATGTGTGTATGTATGTGTGTATGCATGCATGTATAAATACCGAATACATGTTTATGCACATATATATATTTATATACAGATGTATCTACCTACATACCTCATACATACATACAGACATCTGAATATGGAGCATTCATATGTGTGTAATGGCGCATGTGTCCCAGTAGCACATGTTTATATATATATAACACATATGTTCATATATACACGTAGCACCCTGCAGTTGCGGATAAGAGTGAGGGGGCGGCGGGGACGTTGACAGTCTGCGAGGCTCTGAAGAAGCCCGCCGCATGTGCAACATTTTTCAAGCTATGCAACAAGCCCGCCACAGGTGCCGATTTTTGTTAAAACAATGCAGGTGGATCGCGGGTTGTGTCGCAGTTGGGTCGCGGGTGGGTCGACGGTGGGTCGCGGGTGGGTCGCGTGCCGGGCCGCGGGTGAGTCGCGAGCGGGTCGCGGGGTGGGTCGCGGGTGGGTCGCGCTTGGTTCGCCGGTTGGTTCGCGGGGTGGGTCGCGGGTGGGTCGCGGGCCAGGTCGTGGGTTGGTCGTGGGCCGGGTCGGGGGGGGGACGGCGACAACCAACAACAATAACAACAACAATCATTATAATATTGTTCGCTCTTATTTGCTCGAGTGGCCGTTAACGCGTATTTCCCAAACCCTCGATACCCGCCCTCTTCGTCTTCGGTCGTATTCTTTTTGGGGGGTATACCTCTCTTCTCTGCAGGCTGGGCCCCGGCAAGCGGCGGGGCGGCCGCGGACCGTCGGCCTGGCCAGCGGCAGCGCTGATCGGCGGCAGCCCGACCCCACGAAGGAAAAAAAAGGGGACCGACCACGACGACGACGACGACGACGTCGACGACGACGACGGCGACGACGACGTCGACGACGACGAGCGAAAGCGAGAGCGAGAGAGAGAGATAGAACGACAGCAGGGCCACGAAAGGCACGAAGTAGGCCACGAAGGGCGACAGCGGGGAGACGAAGAGAATGCGTATGGGGCCACGATGAGCGCGAACGAGCGGGGGCCACGAAGGGCAAATAATGCGGGGCCACAGAAGGCAACGACGGGGCCACTGAGGGTAGCAACTGGGCCACGTAGAACAGCGAGGGGACCGCGAAGAGCGACAGCAGGGCCACGAAGGGCATGCGTATGGAGCCACGAAGGGCGCTAACGAGCGGGGGCCACGAAGGGCATACATATATGGGGCCGCGAAGGGCAGCGAGGGGGCCGCGAAGGGCTGCAACGGGGCCACGAAGGGCTGCAACGGGGCCATGACGGGCTGCAACGGGGCCACGAAGGGCAGCGAGGGGGCCACGAAGGGCTGCAACGGGGCCACGAAGGGCAGCGAGGGGGCCACGAAGGGCTGCAACGGGGCCGCTGAGGGCTGCAACGGGGCCATGACGGGCAGCGAGGGGTCCACGAAGGGCTGCAATGGGGTCACGAGGGGCAGCGCGGGGGCCACGAAGGGCTGCAACGGGGCCACGAAGGGCAGCGAGGGGGCTACGAAGGGGCTGCAACGGGGCCACGAGGGGCAGCGAGGGGGCCACGAAAGGTTGCAACGGGGCCACGACGGACAGCCAGGGGGCCACGAAGGGCGCAACGGGGCCACGAAGGGCAGCGAGATCCAGATTCCTGGGTAATCTGCGACGGAGTCCTGAGTGTGAGCGCGACTCCTGAGTGTCTGAGTGTCGAGAGCGCTGCGCTTGAGTACATTGCGGGAAATTCCAACACAAGGGCGCCATTCCTGAGTAAATTGCAAGCGAATCTCCAGCGAGGGCGCGACTCAAGAGTGCCAAGAGAGCGGTTCCTTAATACATTATAAGGACGTCCCAAGCGAGAGCTCGATTCCTGAGTCAAATGCGAGGAAGTCTCCGGCGGGAGCGGGGGCCCTGGCTAAATTGCAAGGGGGTCTCAGGCGGGAGCCGTTGCTCTTGTAACCCGGGGGCCAACAACACATTTTGAGGACGAAGGTTTTTCTTGATAAGAATCAGGGTGCGAGCGCCGGGAGGGGCACTTCAATTGGAACATGCAATGTGCAGTTATTGTTCAGTAGTGAGGGATCAACAACGACAATCAGTTTACCCTCATGCGCGATGTTTCCACACGAGACATGCGACCATCATGGTAACCATCCACATCATGGGCGACTGTTGCTTTATAGCAGGGCCCGTTATTCCCATTCCCAGATGTCCCGCAAAATGAGGTATCAAACACCTCCCCCGAGGAATTTCAAAACATCCCGCCTCGAAACACATAGCCGCGCCTTGCTGCGCGGATGCGAGACCGCCAGTGGAACCCCAGCGAAGGGTCAAACACAAGGAAGTACCGAACGACAGGGTAGCCTTGGTGGGGATGGGGGCTGTCGGCGGTGAAGCAAGGACCTGGCCCTGAATAGAAAGAGAGGAAGTCTTGAGCAGGGCTGCTGTTGTTGCTGGGGGCGGCGCCAATGCTGAAGAGACTAGGGCGCTAGTCCAGCGTAAACAAAACGAAGTCTCGAGCGGGAACGCCGGTTTTGTTGGGACGGCGGCTGTTGGCGGCGAGGAGGCACACCGCTTTGAGTAAGAAAGGGGGAAGCATCAAGCGGGAACCGTGGTTTTGTTGGGACAGGGGGTTCTCGGCGGCGAGGAACAGCACCGCCCCGAGGAAAAAGAGGAAATCTCGAGCGGGAGCGTTGTTCTTGTTGGGAGCGGCGCCGATTCAAAAGAGAGTAGGGCGCCAGCCTAGCATAAAACGGAAGGAAGTCTCGGGCGGGAGCGCGGGTTTTGTCGGGGCGGCGGTTTTCGGCGGCGGGGAGGAACCCCGCCTTAATTGAGAAAGGGAGGAAGCCTCGAGCGGGAGCGTTATTCTTACTGGGGGTGGCGCCGATGAGAGAAAGACTAGCGCGCCAACCCAAGGTAAAACGGGAGGAAGTCTCGAGCGGGAGCGTTGGTTTCGTGACAATCCTTCGTGGGCGTACATGTGCCCGCCATTGGAATTGGTGTGGGCCCTGCAAAAAGAGGAGGGGGATAACGAGGGAGAGTTGGAGGAAGCGAGGGGGAGGGACGAAGGAAGAGGGAAAATGCCAGGAGAGAAGGAGCGAAAATGGGGGTGGTTGATCAGACGCAGGGAGAAAGAGAGAGAGAGACACAAAAAAACGATATATCTCTATATATGTATATATATAAGTGGTAGGGAATGAGAGAGAGAGAAAGGGAGAGAGAGAGAGAGAAAGAGAGAGAAATAAGGAAAGAAAGACGGAGGGAGGAGGCAGGAGAGGGGAGGGAGAAGGGAGGAGGGAGAGGAGGGAGAGGGGATAGGGCAGAGAGGTATCATGATGAGGGAGAGAGGAGGGGAGGGAGAGAGAAGGGAGGTGAGGAGGGAGGAGGGAGGAGGGAGAGGGAGGAGGAGCAGGAAGGTAAGAGCGTGAACGTTCGAGGACGTCCTAGGCGAAGGCGCCGTTCCTGAACGACGGGCGGGCGATCCTCTGACGGGCGGGTTGGGCGGGCGGGACATTCAACCTGGATGCCTGAGTATGGCGAGAGCGCGATTACTAAGTAAATTGTAGCGGCGTCCTTGGCGCAGCGTGTTTCCTGAGCGTCGAAAGCGCGATGTCTGAATACATTGTATGAAAGTCACAGGCGAGAGCGCAATTCCTGAATCAAATGTGAAGGGCTCTCTGGCGGGAGCGGGGGTTTTGATTAAATTGCGAGGGATGCTTAATTCAAGCGCGAGGAAGTCTCAAGCTGGAGCGCCGTTCTTGAGTAAATTGTAAGGACATCTCAGATGGGAGCGGGGGTCCTGACTAAAGTTCGAGGGGGTCACAGGCGGGAGCGCCGATCCTGAGTAAATTTGAAGGAAGTCTCAGGCGGGAGCCGTTGTTGTAATCCAGGGGGGCAGGGGGCCAAGTTTGAGCACCAAGATTTCCCCTGTCAAAAAACCGGGTGCGAGCGTCGAGAGGCACATTTTGATTGGAAAAAACAGCATGCAGTGGTGATGGGGGATCAGCAATGGCAAGTTTTGTGTTCAGAGATTCGCTCTTATCTGCGCGAGTGTCCGTTAACGCGTATTTCCCGAACCCTCGATACCCGCCCTCTTCGTCTTCGATCGTGCCCCTTTTGGGGGGTATACTTTTCTTCCCTGCAGGCCGGGCCCCGGCAAGCGGCGGGGCGGCCGCGGACCGTCAGCCTGGCCAGCGGCAGCGCTGATCGGCGGCAGCCCGACCCCAAGATGGACGGACAGGGGACCGAACACGACGACGACGACGACGACGTCGACGACAACGACGACGACGACGACGGCGGCGGCGGCGACGACGACGACGACGACGACGACCAGCGAAAGCGAGAGCAAGCGAGAACGACAGCAGGGTCACGAAGGGCGCGAATTAGGCCACGAAGGGCGACGGCGGGGATACGAGGGGAATGCGTATGGGATCACGAAGAGCGCGAACGAGCGGGGGCCACGAGGGGCAGATGATGCGGGGCCACAGAAGGCAACGACGGGGCCACTGGTAGCAACTGGGCCACGTAGGACAGAGATGGGGGCCACAAAGGGCGACACCAGGGCCACGAAGGGCATGCACATGGGGCCACGGCGGGCGCGTACGAACGGGGGCAACGAAGGGCTTACATATATGGGGCCACGAAGGGCACGGAGGGGGAACACGAAGGGCTGCAACGGGGCCACGAAGGGCTGCAACGGGGCCACGAATGGCAGCGGGGGGGCCACGAAGGGCTTCAACGGGGCCACGAAGGGCAGCGAGGGGACCACGAAGGGGCGCAACGGGGCCACAAAGGGCAGCGAAGGGGCCACGAAGGGCTGCAACGGGTCTACGAGGGGCAGCGAGGAGGCCACGAAGGGCTGCAACGGGGCCACGCAGGGCAGCGAGATACCCATTCGGAAATATTACGTGACGGATCTGTGAGGGAGTCCTCAGCGTGAGCGCGACTCCTGGGTGCCTGAGTGTCGGGAGCGCAGCGCTGGAGTAAATTGCGGATAATTCCAACGCGCGGGCGCCATTCTTGAGTAAATTGCAAGCAAGTCTCCAGCGAGGGCGCGATTCAAGAGTGCCGAGAGAGCGGTTCCTTAATACATTGTAAGGAAGTCCCGAGCGAGAGCGCGATTCCTTAATCAAATGCAAGCAAGTCTCGGGCGGGAGCGGGGGTCCTGGCTAAACTGTGAGGGAGTCTCCGGCGGGAACCGTTGTTGTTGTAACCCGCGGGCCAACAACGCAGTTTGAGGAGGAACAGTTTCCCTGATTTTAAACAGGGTGCGAGCGCCGGGAAGGGCACTTCAATTGAAAAATACAATGTGCACCGGAGGGGGGATCAACAATGAGTATTTTTCTGCACTGAGAGTTCAACCACAACAACAACGACAACGAAACAAGCATAATCCTCACCACGGATCCGCAATTCAGCCGCGCACCAAGGGACAATGAATGACCGTTCGGCTCTTTCATTCTGACATAGTTATACAGAAATCAGAGGTGCATGTGCTTGTATATATACATATATATGTGTATGTATGTATGTATGTATGTATGTATGCATGCATGTATGTATGTATGTATGTATGTATGTGTGTGTATGTATGTATGTATGTATGTATGTATGGATGGATGTATGGATGTGTGTATGTGTATGTATGTATATGTATATGTATATGTATATGTATATATATATGTGTATACACATATGTATGTATGTGTGTATGTATCTATGTCTGTATGTATGCATGTAGGTAAGTAAGTATGTATGTATGTATGTATGTATGTGTGTATGTATGTATTGATATATATATATATATATATATATATATATGTGTATATATATCTATATATATATATATATATATATATATATACCTGGGGGGCAGGCCCGGGGCCCACAAACAGGTGCCCCGACCCCCCATGGGAGGACAGGGCGGCCGGGGAGGTCCAATATAGTCCAGGAGGGCCTCCAGAGGCTCCCGAGACGGCCCAAGCGGGCCCCGAGTCCCCGAAAGACCGCTCCAGGACGACCAAGATTGGCCCAAGACTGCCCGATAGGCCTCCGAAGGCACTCCACGACGCTTCAAGACGTCTCTCCAGAGCGCTTCAAGAGGCCGGAATCGTCAATTGCACGCAGGTTGTGGAACGATTTTGGTCTTCCAGCCTTTTCGGCTGTCCGACTCTCCAAGACGGGTCAATAGGCCCCCAAGACGGCCCCAGACGCGCCCAAGACAGCCCAAGAGAGCCCCAAGACGGCCCCAAGATGCGCCCAAGAGGGGGACCACGACTCCAAAATTCGACCCTCCCGCTTGAAGAATGCACCAGGAGGCCCCAAGGAGCCCCCAAGAGGCCCCAGGAGGCCACCAAGAGGCACCCAGGAGGCCCAAACGAGGCCTCAAGAGGCCACAAAACAGCCCCGAGGAGGCCCCACAACGGTCCCAAAACGGCTACCGAGAAGCTGCGAAACTGCCTTCACGACGTCTCCGACAGGCCAACCACGAGATCCGAACCAACACCCATGAGGCCTCTGACCCACCACCCAGGGCACGGTGGCGGGAGCAGGGACAGCACTTGTGCACAGCACGTTCCGGCGGGAGCCTTCCGGAACACGCTGCAAGAGGAGGAAGATCAGGAGGAGAGAGAGCTGGAGTGGGAGGAGGAGGAGGAGGAGGAGGAGGAGGAGGAGGAGGAGGAAGGGGACGAGGAGGAGGATGAGGAGGAAGAGGAGGAGGAGCAGGAGGAGGCGGACGGGAACGACGACGATGAGGACGACGACGATGCAGGATGATGATGCTGCCGACGATGACAAAATGTGACGACGTCAACGATTACTGCGACTGTTGTTGTGTTCATGAAGGTGGTGCTCTTGCGGGTGATGGTGATGGTGATTGCGACGATGCGGGAGCAGGCTCACGGGCCTATCTTGGGCACCTCCTGGGCCCCTCTTGTAGCCCTCTTGGGCCTCTCTTGGGCCCCTCCTGAGCCTCCTTGGGACTGTAACGAAGCCTTTGAAGGCTCCAACAGACCTCCAGAAGCGCCAAGAATGCACCACAAGTTCAACGCGAGCCCCCGTCCATCTGCGAGAGTGCCTTGTGTTTTTGGATTGAAGCTTTAACGGCTTGAAGGAACCATCTCCGGGCCCTCTGGAACCTTCCGGGGACTTCTTCATTATCTGCCGGAGCCTTCTGCATGCAGGCACCAAGAGGCCTCCAAGAGACCCGGCAGTCTGGTCTATGCGGCAGAAGGGGTTGATCCGACGCCGCCGCGAAAATAATGAATCCGCCTTGGGTCTCGGGCCGGGTCGTGGGTGGGTCGCGGGAGGGTCGCGAGCGGGTCGCGGGTGGGTCGCGGGTGGGTCGCGAGCGGGTCGCGGGGTGGGTCGTGGGTGGATCGTGGTTGGTTCGCGGGGTGGGTCGCGGGTGGGTCGCGGGCCGGGTCGCGGGGGGGACGACGACAACAAACAACAATAACAACAGCAGCAACGCAACAAACAGAATCTGCACCACGGATCCGCACTTCAGCCACGCACCCAAGGACAACGAATGACCGTTCGGTCCCTTCACTCTGGTATACAAGTATATACATGCACTTTAATATATATACATGTATGGTCGTGGCCACGCGCTAACACACGCATGTGCTTGTTCGAACAATAAACAGGGGGTCGTGCCTGTATTGATATAGATTGTATGTGCGCACGACGGCAACACTCTACGACGAATACCGATAATACTAATACTATACATCTGTTGAGGCACATTGTCTCACTCTTGTTCTTTGAAAATACAATCACAGCAGGCACAAAGCGTGTTGACAGATTTGCGTGATGCGACAAGCACTCTCTCGGAAAGTCGGAAATCGCCAAGAGGCGGCTTCTCGGACAAAAAACTGTAATCGCTACTTTGTCCGTGCGATCCTTGAGAAGCGGCTTTTCTGGAAAAGAACGGAAATCGTGGTTGTTCGGTGCAATCCTAACCAAATGCACAATGCCATTGCTGTTTCAGTTTCAAGCGAAGACATGAACATATGTTGCCGTGCCAATGTTGCCTACTGCCTTGCGGGAAACATGATTGTACACCATCGCCTTTTGCCATCTGACTGGGATCTTGCCGATCAACCAGCACGTCGATTTCAACCATCTCATCCGCGTAGCTTTTTGGTTCGTGAGCGTCTGCCAGATCCTGAACACTATGGCCACGACCAACCGCGGGGAGATAGGCTTCACCTCGCACCGCGTGCTGAGCCGCCAGGTCTTGGCGGCAGCGGTGGCGGCCTCCTCTACCACGTCCCCGGCAGTGCCTGCCAGGGCAGCTCCGATGGGGGTTGCCAGCGCCGCGACCCAAGAGGAGGCGCGGGCCGTGCAGGCCCCCCCGGGTCTCACCCGAGATCCGGGGGCCTGGCCTCCTGGCTGACCCCACAGCAGGCCAGGCGGGTGCAGGCCAAGACTCGTCCCACCTACTCACAACACTGCTGGCGTTGGCCAACTGGCTGAGCGTCGTCACGCTGCCGAAGTTGAACGGCGAGCAGTGGGTTGCCATCCTGGTCGACTACCTGGAGGATCAGCTGGGCCACGACATGACCTTGAGCATGGTCATCACGCAGGTCTCCGCCGCGCTGTGGGCCAACCCGCACGTTGGCCGCCCCGTGGCCCGGGTTCTACCGTGCGCATCCGTTGCCCTGGCGGGCTGGCGTGTGCTACGGTCTCCAGCCTCCTGGCCGCCCTTACCCATCGAGTGCATGGCGGCCATCGCTGTGCGGCTGGCTGCAGAGGGCGAACTGCTCATGACTCTGTTCGCGTGGGTGTCCTTCGAGACCTACCGGCGCCCCTCCGAGGAGCTTTCGTTGCGAGGGTATCAGGTGCTATCCTGGTTGCCAGGCGGCTCACAGTCAACACGTCGCCTCTCCTTCGTGGTGCGGCCCTCCGAGTAGGAAGCGCCGACCAAGACGGGGCTCTTCGACGTGAGCTGCTTGCTGGACCTTCCTCGCCAGCAGTTCCTGGTGCCACTGCTGCTGCAGGTCAAGCGCTGGGCTGGGGACAGCGGCCTCCTGCTCCCTTTCTTCCGCGTGGAGGCCTGGGTGCGCTTCCAGGCGGCGCCGGAGGCGGTCATCTTTGGCAGCCTGCGCCCCACTTTGTACGGCGCCTCGCACGACCGGGCCACCAACAGCTGGTCGGCCCACGACGTTCAAGCAAGAGGGCTCTGGAAGTCCTCCACCTTGGTCATGAGGTACGAGAAGCACTCCCGGCTGGCCCGACAGTTACAGGCCCTTCCGGAGCCTACGTGACGCGCCGAGATAGCCAGCTATCATGGCGCTGCCGCCGCGTTCACGGACCTCTTCTGGAGGCACTGGCCTACTGTCGCTTCGCGGGCTCCCCAGTCGTCCCAGACGCCTTTGGCGGCCAGGGCGGCCTGGCCAAAGCAGCGCGGAGGCGAGGCTACGTTGCCATCGCCGTCGATCTCAGCCAAGGCGAGGAGTCCGACCTGCTGCAAGGTGACGTCGTGGCGCTCCTCATCGGCTGGATCAATAGCGGGCAGGTCATGACGCTGTTCTATGCCACGCCGTGTGAGGGGCACTCCAAAGCGAGGAGGGCCCTCCCCTGGTCTCGCTTGCCGCGTGCCATCCGCTCGCCTCAGCATGTGCACGGTTTGCCTTTCGTCTGCCGGCCAAGCTTCTCTTGATCGTTCTAATGTTCTTGGTAAGGTTGCCGCCCTCCTGTTTTGTAAAGCCATCGATAGAAGCCTCCCCTGCTTTGAGGAAGAACCCGAGGGGCAGTTTTTCTGCGGCACCAGTCTCAGCATGTCAGTCTGATTTCGCACGTGCACGGTGATTATGTGATCCACCTCTGCGCTTTCGATCGTCCCTTCCGCAACCGCACGCTCTGTGGAATTGCCGTGCCCCGCGCCTCGAGCATTGCCAATGCAAGGTGCACGGCAACATGTGTAGCTGTTCTGGTAAGCCGCACGTCGTTTTGTCGGGGTATGCGCCGGACCGCTCCTGGATGACTAAGCTCAAACAGGTATATCCCGCCCCTCTGCGCAATATCCTTTTCAGCTCTTTGCTGTCTCAGGCGGTCGGGATCCAGGCTCATAACTTGTGTAAAGTTCTCACGCCCAAAATGTTGTGAATGTCTGGCCTGGCCAGTTTAGTGCTGGTTACGGGGTGTTTCTGTCTGAGTTCGGGGGTCAGGCTCCGATCTCAGGTGCACCTGCCACAGCCTCGGTACCCAGCAATTGTATGGTGAAAACAAGACAGCATTGTCTCACTCTTGCTCGTTGAAATTACCATCACAGCAGGCACAATGCGCGTTGTCAGATTAGCCGGATGCGAGAAGCACTCTCTCGGAATTCGGGAATCGCCAAGAGGCGGTTTCTCAGAAAACTGCGATCCCTGAGAAGCGGTTTCTCGGAAAAACGGAAATCGTAAATTTTCGTGGGCGCACTAGCCAAATCCACAGTACCATTGCCGCTTCGTTTTCAAGCTATCCCACACACCCGCCCTCCGAGCTCAGGTGCACTTGCCACACCCTCGGTAGCCAGCAATTGTATGGTGAAAAAAGGAGCAAACATTTGCACGCGTGCATATTTGCATCTACACATACGCCTGTTTATTGCAATCGCTGATATTTATCGGAGGTTGGGGGGTGAGTCCGACGTGAAACGGAGACCCCCCCTAACAGGGAAATCGACTTCGGTTTCGGGCTCGTGTCGTGCGTGCCGTGCGTGCGTGCGGGCGAGGCGAAGCTGCGTGGGCGGGCGAGAGGAAATCCTCCTGTGGCTGGGCCGCGGCCGGACCACATGTAATTCCTCTGGCGGCCGGTGCCGCGCGGTGTCCCGCCGGTGCCCCGCGGGTGTCTCGAAATCTTCTTGTGGCTGGGCTGCGGCCGGACCAAATGTTTCTCCTCCAGCGGCCGGTGCCGCGCGGTGTCCCGCTGGTGTCCCGTGGTGTCCCGTGGTGTCCCGTGGTGTCCCGTGATGTCCCGTGGTGTCCCGTGGAGTGAGAGCAATCGTGAAATCGACCGTGAGATCGAAACTGAGATCGATGTGGTGCCCCGAGGTGTCCCGTGGTGTCCCGTTGCGTGAGATCGATGGTGATATCGACACGTGTCCCGTGGCGTCCCGTTGAGCGAAATTGGTAGTGGCGAAATTGGTAGTGATATCGTTACTGAGATCGATGTGGTGCCCCGAGGTGTCCCGTGGTGTCCCGCTGAGTGAGATCGATAGTGAAATCGATGGTGAGATCGACAGGTGTACCGAGGTGTCCCGTGGTGTCCCGTTGAGTAAGAGTTATAGTGATATCGATCGTGACATCGATTGTGAGATCGATGTTGGGTCCCGAGGTGTCCCGTAGTGTCCTATGGTGTCCCGCTGAGTGAGATCGATAGTGATCGACAGTGAGACCGGTAGTGAGATCGAGAGGTGTCCCGCGGTGTCCCGTGGTGTCCCGTGGTGTCCCGTTGAGTGAGATCGATAGTGCCATCGATAGTGAGATCGACAAGTGTCCCGTGGTGTCCCGTGGTGTCCCGTTGAGTGAGATCGATGGTGACATCGATTCAGATGTTGGTTCCCCCCCTCTCCCCCCCCACAACCTCCTTATCACCCGAAGGGTGGTCGTATAGGTATGCGTATATGTTTCTCTCGTTTTCTGTCCCTCCCCCCCTTCCCGGCACGCACAAATCTGAAGAGCCTCTACCGGGCTGGGTCGGGAGGGCGCTCGCTGAGGCCCAGAGAGATCTCGTTCTCTGGGAGACCGTTAGCGGACACGTGTGTTTGAGTTCGGGGCGGATTTCGATCCGATCGATACGAGTCGATATCAGTTTCGTCCAGCTCGAACCGATTCGATTTCAATACTCCGTCGATCCTATGCGGGCCGGCGTTTGCACAGCAGTGCTGCGCATCTTGGCGCAGCCGATCCGATTAGACCGGGCAGAAAGAACCCCCCCCCATGCAGAGTTTTGGCTCCAGCTTGCCTCAACATCCAAGAATGTGGAGGGCTTCTCCAAGGCTGTACCTGGCGTAAGGGTGCTGAACCAAGGGCATTCCTAGAGGTCCCCAGAGGCGTACAAGGAAACCAGACACATTTAAAAACCGTGTCGAACACCTCTGACAGTCTCCCCTTCCCCGATCTCCAAAGGTCGAGTCAGGCAGGCTTAGAAATAATACCAATTCAGTCCAGACTGTTCCAGAACGTTTTCGAAGCGTTCTGGGACGGTCATGGCGCCAGCAGGGGTGGCGTTCTGGAGCCGGAGCGGTCGCGGCCACGGCCAGATCCTCCTCGGAAGTGGTCGGAACGCACCCCAGGACATGTCCGTGGCTGAATTATTCACCGCGGGGCACACACTCCTGTCGTCGTCATCCGTCCGTCGTCTTCTGATTCTCGTCGACCAGTCGTCGCCTGTCGTCCTCTGTCATGGTCTGCCGTCGTCTGTCTTCGTCGGTTTCGTCGTCGTCGCCGTCGTCGTCGTCGTTGTGATCGTCGTCGTCTGTCGTCATCGACGCCATCGTCGCCGTTCGTCGTCGTCCGTGGTCGTCGTCCATCGTTGCCATCATCGTCGTCGTGGTCGTCCGTCGTCGCCGTCGTCGTCGTTGTCGTCGGTCCCCGTCGTCGTCGTCGTCGGCGTCGTCGTCATCGTCGTCATCGTCATCGTCATCGTCATCGTCGTCGTCCCCCGCTCCTGCACCCCAAGCACGCCTCTGGTACCTCTCCGCGGTTGCTGCGCATCAGTTGTTGATGCTCCTCCGCCCCTACCCTCCACGTCGACCCCTGAGAGCAACGCCAATGCTGTGTTCGGATCATTGGAGATCGTTTTTTTCTAACCCTCTGGGCTATGATGTGCCGCGTTATGCCCCTCCTCTCACCCTCACTCTAGAACCTCAGAGCGGTAGGATTCCGTGTCCGCTCGCGCGTCAACGGGAATAACAATCGCCCCCATGAAGGGCAGCGGATTCAAATAGGGATCGGAGTTGGGGTTCAGCTTGATGGGTGTTTGCAGTGAAAAAGTCGGCATCCCACCCCCCTCTCCCCACCACAAAGCGTAACACCCCTCCCCCCAGCACGTCCTGGGCATTGCCGCAGTACGTCCAGCACCACTGCCTGTGGTGTTGGACCCACACGGCGGTGGGTGGGGGGGTGCGTTACGTTCTAGCCCCCCCGCCCCGCCCCGCCCCCCCCCCCCCATAACGCTCGTCATCGCCGCGGAGAAAAAAAGAAGCTCGATTGTCGTAGTTTGTCATGACATGAGGTTTGCTTTGGCCGTTGGTGGGATAGCATTCCACCTCGTTTAGGAACCAGCCGCCCTTCAGTCTGTGCAATTCACCAGTAATCCATGCTCGGAGGCACTTGCCGGCCTTGAAGCCGCCAGCGGTCCCCGCGAGCCTTGGTTGCCTGCTTGCTCCTGAAGCTCGCCCCCTCTTCCCCGAGAATCCAGCGCGGCGAGAATTCACATCGCCGTCGGCGATCATGCCCAGAGCTCTCCACCCCATCTTTGCGCGTCGTCTCTCGAGCTGCATTGTCCAGCAAGGGAGAAGCCCGTTGGGTCCGCGAGCATCCAGCGGCCCAGTCTGTGGACGACATGGACACCAGACCTCTCGAGGCAATCCCCAAGGGTTGTGCACCATGCCGAATTGAATTTGACGGTCTTGAGCCCCCAAACTAACCGAGGGAAACAATTCAGAACACAGCCCCCGCCCTTTTGGTGAAACGATATCGCATCCAGCACCCAACATCGTTATCCTGGCACCCTGAGACGCAAGAGGAGGAGGTGGAGGAGGAAAAGGAATAACGTTTTCAGACAGTTTTTTCCAGCACGTGTTCAATGAATTCAGCTCCATCGAAATACAGTGCCACAGGAATATGTAGTCATCACTGGCATCATAATATTTCGCATATTCGGCGTTCAAGGGTTTCGCCCTCTTCCAGACAATCCGTACTAGTTATAGATGTCGGTCGCGGGGGCGGGGGACAATTATAGATTCTCTTGCACATGATGTCTAGTCGAGGGCTCCGACGACTTCATTTCGGCACGGCACCAGTCGGTGCAGCCCCTCTCGGCCTCCACCTCCCAGCGCGCCCCCTCCGCATCCACTTCTTAAAGCAGCCATGCCGAAGCATCCACTCGGCCTCCGCATCCCTCCCCCACCAGCCAGCGCGTCCAGCCCGCCAGCCAGCGCGCGCCCCTCGGCACAGGTCCCACCAGCCAGCGCGTCCCCTCCGCCCCGACCGCTTTATTGCGGCTCGGCACGGGTCCCACCAGCCAGTGCGTCCCCTCCGCCCCGACCGCTTTATTTCGGCACGGCACGGGTCCCACCAGCCAGTGCGTCCCTTCCGCCCCGACCGCTTCACTTCGGCAAGGCACCAGTCCCACCAGCCAGCGCGTCCCCTCCGCCCCGACCGCTTTCTTTCGGCACGGCACTGGTCCCACCAGCCAGCGCGCCCCTCCGCCCCGACCGATTTACTTCGGCACGGCACCGGTCCCACCAGCCAGCGCGTCCCCTCCGCCCCGACCGCTTCATTTCGGCACGGCACTGGTCCCACCAGCCAGCGCGCGCCCTCCGCCCCGACTGCTTTCTTTCGGCACGGCACTGGTCCCACCAGCCAGCGCCCTTCCCCCACCAGCCAGCGCAACCAGCCCACCAGCCTCCAGCCAGCGCGCCCCCTCTGCCCCGACCGCTTTATTCGACACGGCACCGCCCCCCCGCACCCCGCGCGCAGCCCCTCCGACTCGACCCCAGCGCGCCCCCTCGCACGACCGCTTCATCTCGGCACGGCACCGCCCCGTCTCCCCCACCAGCCAGCGCGCCTCCCCGCCCCGACCCCTTTATCCACCAGCCAGCGCGCATCTCCGCCCCGACCGCTTTATTTCATCACGGCACCGGTCCCACCAGCCAGCGCGCCCTTTCCGCCCTGACCGCTTTATTTCGGCACAGCCCCGGTCCCACCAGCCAGCGCGCCCCCTCCGCCCCGACGGCTTCATTTCGGCTCGGCACGGGTCCCACCAGCAAGTGCGTCCCCTCCGCCCCGACCGCTTTATTTCGGCACGGCACTGGTCCCACCAGCCAGCGCGCGCCCTCCGCCCCGACCGCTTTATTTCGGCACGGCACTGGTCCCACCAGCCAGCGCCCTTCCCCCACCAGCCAGCGCAACCAGCCCACCAGCCTCCAGCCAGCGCGCCCCCTCCGCCCCGACCGCTTTAATTCGACACGGCACCGCCCCCCCGCACCCCGCGCGCAGCCAGCCCCTCCGACTCGACCCCAGCGCGCCCCCTCGGCCACGACCGCTTTACTTCGGCACAGCCCCAGTCCCACCAGCCAGCGCGCCCCCTCCGCCCCGACCGCTTCATTTCGGCACGGCACCGTCCCGTCCCCCCCACCAGCCAGCGCGCCCCCTCCGCCCCGACCGCTTTATTTCGGCACGGCACCGCCCCCTCTCCCCACCACCCGCGCAGCCAGCCCCATCGCCTCGACCCCAGCGCGCCCCCTCCGCCCCGACCACAGCCCTTAGGCCCCCACCTCCCAGCGCGCCCCCTCCGCATCCACTTTCTAAAGCAGCCATGCCGAAGAAGCCCCTCGGCCGTCCGCATCCTTCCCCCACCGGCCAGCCCGTCCAGCCCGCCAGCCAACGCGCCCCCTCGGCACCAGTCCCACCAGCCAGCGCGCCCCATCCGCCACGACCGCTTCATTTCGGCACGGCACGGGTCCCATTAACCGCATGCCGATGATAATAAAGGGACCCCCCCTTCAGTGTTTAGAGTTGATTATCGTCGCCCTATACAAACTTCAAATTGGGCGGCGAGCGCTGAGGCCGAACTTTATTCTCACCTCGAAACGCTATGTTGAGATAGCAACATCAAGCGATGTTGATATAGCAACCTCAAGCGAAGCGATCACACTTTTTCAGGATGTGTCAAGCGAAACCAATAATTTTGGGAGGCAGACTCAAACGAAACGAGCAATGTTCTTATTATTATTATACTTTCCTCTTCTTCGTTTATATTTCTATCTGTCCTCACGCTCGCCTGAACTTTTTTTATCCCTGGGGTTGATTATCCATGGAAAATGAAGCACATGAGCTACCATACACGAGCACTTAAAAAATCAATTTTCATAAAGCGCTTGCGCATTAAAATTGATAGATTTGGAACTTTGGATTTTTCCTTTCTTCGTCCTCTCCTTATTATCCTCGTCTTCTTCTTTCTTATTACTATTCTACTGTATTCTTCTTCTTTTATATTTCTCTCTGTCCCCACGCTCGCCTGAACTTTTTTTATCTCTGGGGTTGATTATCCATGGAAATTGAGGCACATGAGCTACCCTACACGAGCACTTACAAAAAAACGATTTTCATGAGAGATAAGCCATTGTTGAGGATATTTCTATGAAAACTAAACGCCAAGGATGTCTCAAAACGTGCTCGGCTTGGTCTCATCTTGATCATCTCTTACTTCGAGATTATGCTGAGGTCTGCTGGGCTACTTTTATTATCTCTCCCTGAACCCCGAGCTTTATTATCCCCTAGTGTTTATTCTCACGGGCATGAGGTTAGCCAGGGTGCTCCCTCCGCCCCGACCGGTCTTTTTTCGGCACTGCACCGGTCCCACCAGACAGCGCGCCCCCTCCGCCCCGACCTCCTTTTTCGGCGCGTCACAGGTCCCACCAGCCAACGCGCCTCCTCCACCAGTCAGGGCAGCCAGCCCACATGCTAGCGCGCCCCCTCGGCCCCGACCGCTTCATTTCGGCACGGCACCGGTCCCACCAGTCAGCGCGTCCCCTCCGCCCCGGCCGCTTTATTTCGACACGGCACCGCCCCGTATCCCCCACCAGCCAGCGCGCCCCTTCCGCCCCGACTTCTTTAGTTCGGCACGGCACCGCCCCCCGCCCTGCACCCCCCACGCAGCCAGCCCCTCCGCCTCGACCCCAGCGCGCCCCCTCCGCCACGACCGCTTCATCTCGGCACGGCACCGCCCCGTCTCCCCCACCAGCCAGCGCGCCTCCCCGCCCCGACCCCTTTATCCACCAGCCAGCGCGCCTCTCCGCCCCGACCGCTTTAT